ATCCTGTTGTGATTGAAGCTCTTTAACAACCCTCTCTCATTCCTGCTGCCATTACCCCTGACTTAGTTGGACACTCAGTATTATTCTGAGATGGTCCACAGTTGAAAGACTCACTACATGCATTCAGGAAGGGTCTGACTGACAGGCAGGGGGTGGAGGAAGAGGGTGCGGTGGGGTGGACCGCCCTGGGTGTCACCACTGAGGGGGGTGACAAAATGCCGGGCAGCAGTCACTGCGGGGCCTGCAGTGCGCCCAAGCCATGCGTCTCTCCTGGGAGTGACACAGTGGCTTGGGCGCCCGCAGGCTCCTTGCTGCCCCAAACGGTCTACCCACCACCTCCCCCTCAGCTGTAGGGCGGCTGAGTGGGAGGAGGCAGGCAGACTCCTTGGAGACCCTGCGGAGCATCCTGCCCCGCCCTGCCCTGTGGCTGCTGACCCTGTCCCTGGGTGCAGGGCACGCGTGCCACCCCAGGCTCCTGATTGGCTCGCTCTGCCGCAGGTGACAGGAGCCCAAGTATTGAACTGGAAAGCAGACCAGATGTGTGGTGGTGTTTCAATAGAAACCTAATTTTGGTTCCCTACAGAGAATATATCTTCAACATTTCTTTTTTAAAAAACCACACACAGAATCTTTGTCTCAGTGAATCATTATGAAGTACAAGGACTTGGTTGTGCTGATATATTTTTTTTCCAGGAAATAATGTGCTAAAAAACTCCAAGCAGCCTTTCTTTCAGAAACCTGTGTGGGTGGAACCCATCCACAGGGGGAAACCTTCCCATACAACAATGTGGGTGAAGGCAGATAGAAGAAAACACATTCTTGACTTAAGAGCTACAATTAAAAGAAAGCATCTCAAACAATTTAGCTAATTGTTTTCTTCTCTGAAGGAGGCCTGAACTAGATGTTACCGTAAATGCGAAAATATAATTTGCACGTCTGGCTCCCCCCCCTCCCCCCAGCATCTTGTAGAACTTATGCCATAATGCATAGCTGTCAACTTTTCCCTTTTCTTGCGAGGAATCCTATTCGGAATAAGGGAATTTCCCTTTAAAAAAGGGAAACGTTGACAGCTATGGATAATGGCACAGAGCTGCCACACTTCTCCACCATACCTCTATCATTTTTTGAAGATCAAGATAGTGACGGTACTGGAAGAGTGAAACAACCTTAAAACAGGAGTTGAGAGGTGATGCAGACATTATGCAAATTCTTTGCACTAAGATATATCTCCCTGCTGCTTCTGTCATGCCGCCTCTGCCTCTAAGCTATGGGACCTCTATATACAATTAATTAAACCAATGTGATTTTTGGATTCAGCGCATCAGATTCATCCTAAATCAACTGAAAAAAATGCAGACAACAAATTTGTTGTTGACCAGTGTTATCCCTCTACTCAAGAGTGAGGCAGCTACCTCTGGCATCAGATCCTAGAGCAGAGGCAGGGAGTGTGGTGAGTTGTTGGATGGCAGAGTTTTGTGTGTGACACACACAACCTGCCCTGTGCTCCCAAAGTGTAAGGTATCCTATCCTAACAGTGTAAGGTAAGATCTTATCACAGTCATCACCGCTGTTGATGTAAGATTCAACTACTTCTGTGCATAGAATGAGGTGGTGGAGGGGAGTGGGAGGGGCCATTTTGTCCTTCGCCGCAGGTAGGGTTGCCATATTTCAAAAAGTTGGCAAAGTTGTTGAGACATTGCAGTGATTTCCTCCCAGACGCTATTTCTGACAGCTGAATCCCAGCTATGTCTGGGAAATTCTGGACCTATGGGAACCTGAGGCACAGGCAGCAAAATGTCATGGCCTTGCCCCAACCCTAGATTGCATTAGTGGTATGATTGATGCTTCTTATTTTTTGTACTGTCCCAGGCTTGCAAATGGACTTTCCTAAGTAGGGCCTGCTCATGAAGGTTGCAATTCCAACCCCATTTACCTAGGAGTAAGCCCCGTCAAATTCAATAAGACTTACCTCTGAACAGACATTGTTGGGATTGCACTGTTTGAAATGTATGCTGCCTATCTTTCTGCCTTGAAGGCAAATGTAGAAGCCAGCTCCATGGAAGTATCTGTTACCCTAGGTGTGTGGGGTGGATTATTATTATTACTATTAAGTAGTGTTCGAATATTCAGGCTCTTGGCCAGTTTTCCCTCTAGAGAGGTAGTCAAATATCAGAGTATTACTTTACCTAATTAATTCGTTTATTTACAGAAGCAATCAAGAGCAGGGGAGGACAAAAGTTATTATTATATTTCAGGGTCCTTCCATCCCTAAGGAGAGTCTCAGAGCACTTTACTAACATTAATGAATCCGCTCTAACAGTGCCCCAGGGGAGGCATAAACGTTACTAGAACAACTTCATCATTTGGAAAATAGGCATAGCTGCCACCTGGATGGCTCCCCGCCCCCAAACCACCCTGACTTTGGCCTAGCTGTAGATAGTAGGCTACTTAATTTGCATAAATTAAAGTGTTAAATATTAATGAGTAAATTGAGTGATTTTTCCTATGTGGATTAGAAATGGCATTACTGAATTTTAGTATGATTTCCTCCCTTCTCTCCCCACCCCCACCCCCTACTTTTAGCAGGAAAAGAACAGGCATCTCCATAAGTTAAAGTCAAATGCTAGCCTAGATGCCCTGTCACCTGGCAAACAGAATTGAACCAACACAAAAGAACAGTTTATAATCAGGATCCAAAAAGCTAAGTCACACACACACATACACACACCAGAAGATCAGAGCCAATGTAGAAAGAAGGGAGAGCAAAGGATGGAAAGGGAATCAGGAGGACAGATGAGACAAGCACACAAAGGAGGAGGCAAGGTGCCATACTATGCCAGCCAAGGATGACTGAGGAATTTGGAGGCTCTGCGTTCCAGAGTGGTTTACCTTTTCTGTAGCTCCCAGCTTAATATGTGGAATTAGATGTGGTCTGCTTTAGAATTCCAACTGAAGATCTGCCTTTAAACCTTCAGGTCCCAACACGCCTCCCCCAATTCCATTTCCCCCAGGTTCTATCTGTCAGCATCGCCCTTGAGCCAGTGCCACCAACTGGACTCATCCACTTCAGTCCCGAATGGGCTAGGCGAGCTGGGTAGCACTTCCAGAGACCACCTTCTGCACAGGAACAGGTCAAAGTGCTGTGGACTCACAGCTTAGAGATGTGAGCACCGGATTCACTCCCACAAGAAGACAGTCGTCGCACAGCAGAGTACAGCAGAGTCTAGCAGAGTATATAAACAACTCGGAGAGCAGCTCTGTAGAATATCTTCTTTTATTCTATCTACAACTATACAAACTATATACAGAGCTTAATGAGTCTAAGCATAAATGAATGCTGCACTGCACTGAGTGTCTGCAGCTGCTCTTAGCAGCAACCTTATCTCTACACACAATCTCTAACAGTCTCTCTCTCTCTCTCCGACACTGACTGACTGACTGACTCGGTGCTGGAGCAGAATAAGTAGAGAGCAGAACATGCCTCCTCCTCTCTGGAGAATCAGCAGACTCCTCAGGAGATTCTTGGATATGGGAGGGGTGAAATCTCCTCACTATCTCCTTGGAACAGCTAGAAATCACAGCAGTTGCCACACACCTTGAAAATGGGGCCACAGAATCCCCATGGGGTGCTACAGTATATACCATATTTTTCGCTCCACAAGACGCACTTTTTCCCTCCTAAAAAGTAAGGGGAAATGTGTGTGTGTCTTATGGAGCGAATGCAGCGGGGAGGCAGGCAGGAAAAGCCCCTGCGGCTCTTGCGGGCTTTTCCCCAGGAGGGAGAAGGGACTGACGCGGCCAGTCAGTCCCTTCTCCCTCCTCGTAGAAAAGCCTGCAGGAGCCGTGCACTCCTTAAAGGGTGCACGCCTCCTGTGGCCTTTTGTGGGAGATGGGACCTCCCGCAAAAGCACGCAAAAAAAAAAAAAAGCCACAGCTGTGACTTTACTCTCATTTTCTAAAAGCACTGAAAGGCAGGAGCAGGTTCATTTCACACATTTTGCTTTATTATCTCTAATTCTACAAACGCTAGAGACTTTCATTTCTCAAAAGGTTTTTTTGGGGGGGAACAAGCTCAGAGGCTCCTCCCTCTTGTAGTTCCCTGAGCTGGGGGGGAGAATAATATTTTTTTCCTTGATTTCCCCCTCTGAAAACTAGGTGCGCCTTATGGTCAGGTGAGCCTTACGGAGCGAAAAATACGGTAACCCATAGCAGTAGATGGTATCTATATTCTGTAGGGAGGGGTGGCACGTCATACATCCCCCCAACCCAAGGGGCTTCTGCGACCCCAATTTTAAGGTGTTCAGCAGCTGCTGCACTTTCTAGCCATTTAAAATAGCTACAACCTTTTAAAGAAAAGGGGAGATGATTAAAATGCAGCCACCTCAGATCACTTTGCAAAATGTAGGATTTATTTTTTTTAAGGCAGGCGCGCACACAAACACACAAACATGGGAAATGAATGGAACAGACTACTGGCCACACACAAAATTGCCACAGATTGAATTTAGACTGACCTGCCTATCCCTAAAGTCAGCTAACCATTGCATGGCTGAAATGCTTTGGGTCAGTTGCTCATACAATCATTTTAGGTGGTAAGATTTCTGTCATTTCCTGTGCATATATCCCCTTGTGAAGAAAACCTATTCCATTGGCTTCAGTAGCAAGGAGTGTGGTGTGATGCTGCTGAGCCGCTCTCCCATCACCAGCATAGCTGCAGCTTAACTGGACAGGGCAGGACAGGACTGGGCAGCAGTAAGGTCAGGGTTGTAGGAACACGCCAGCAAGAGCATTGGATGGGCTCTGCTGGTGTGTCAGCACAGTCCTGACATGACCACCACCCAATGTACCTCAACCCCATTCAGGTGAGGTGCAGCAATGATAGGTGTCGTAGTCTCGTTGCTGAGCAACAATGTGCAGAGCTCAGTGGAGTGGGAGGCTGGCCAACCAGAAGAGTCTCTGAGGTATACCTGCCTGAAGGCAGAGTCAGCATCCGAAGTCAGGTCAAACCCTAAGGTAAGGTAAGGTAATGTAAGGAAAAGGACCCCTGGATGGTTAAGTCCAGTCAAAGCCAACTATCGAGTGCGGCACTCATCTAGCTTCAGGCCGAGGGAGCCGGTGTTTGTCCACAGACAGCTTTCCTGGTCATGTGGCCAGCATGACTAAACCACTTCTGTCACAAAGGGACACCGTCACAGAAGCCAGAGCACACAGAAATGCTGTTTACCTTCCCACTGCAGTGGTACCTATTTATCTACTTGCACTGGTATACTTTTGAACTGCTAGGTTGGCAGGAGCTGGGACAGAGCAATAGGAGCTCACCCCGTTGCACGGATTTGAACTGCCAACCTTCTGATCGGCAAGCCCAAAAGACTCAGTGATTTAGATCCCAGTGACACCCATTCATGGTCAGATGGTCCAAGGGTTAAGGAGACCAGTGATCATGGGGTCAAGAGTCAAGACAAGCAGGAAGCAGCAAGGTAGGACCAGGAACTACAAGCATTGTTAAAAGCATCTGGCTGCTGCTAGAAGCTCTGCTTAAGAAGACTGAAGACAACTGGTTCTCATCAGTGCCTTTTCCTCTGAATCCTTGAAGGTTGATCAGCTGCAGGTGGAGTCACTTCTTCCCCTTCAGGCTGATGTTCATCAGGCAAAGCTGACTTTTGGCGCATGACAGTAGGGTTGGTAGGCAAAATTCTGCACCACTGTTCCATCACACCAGCCATTACTGATTGGAAGCTGCCTTTCCTACAGCCATGCCTATTCAATCTATAACGACTGAAACAACCAGCTATTGACACTTACTCATGGCTATTTTTCAGATATCTCTCCAAGTTCAGGTGTTTGGCAGCCTTCCTTTGTTTTTCGCTGTCTTACACCAGGGGCATCTAGTTGTTGCTGGTTTCCATCTTCCATCAGCCCCAACCAGAATAGCCCAATGGTCAGGGATTTGGAGAATTGTAATTGAACAACATATAAAAAGGGCCACAGGTTTGCCACTCCTGTCTTACATAATTGCTCTCCACCTATCACAGCTGGAGATGTCATTTAAACAACAACAACCTAGGTCTGAAATGGAAGGCAATAGATTCAGCAAAACATGAGTATAGCATACCTCTTGGTACCAGCTTTTCTGATCTGAGAGAGTATCCTAACAAAGTTTTTCCTTTGGGATATTCAGCTGCTTTTCATTTCTTTAGTTTTAGAAAACATCAAATGTTTTGTTGCCTAGGTGGGAATCCTATAAATAGGTAATGCAAAGGTGACAGCTGCTTTCCATGTACATCTGAGTTTATACCTGGTTTTCTTTTTATGTTAAGATAGCTTTTTTTTAAAATGACATCTCTATCAAAACAGCTCATTTGGAAATGTCAGGTCTGCTTCTGATAAGTCATCAGTCATGGTGATTGGTGCTGACAGACACCCTGTAATGGTACTGTGGTATCTAATATACTATACTGCAGTCTTTTGTAATATCATATTATTTACTTTATTCAGCCTGGCATGAAATCTCTCCTGGAGGAAAATAAAGGGGAGGGGAGTAGAGAGGGAATCAATCCTTAGGAGGTCTTTCTGATCTCCATTTCCGGGAGCAAGAATCCCACCCATTTCAATATTGGCTTGGAGAAATAATTTAGAGGCTAGGATGCAAGTTGAAATTTGTGGTTTAAATTGTCTTTATTTTAGATGACAGTGTGCTTTACACACTCCCACTCCCCTGAGTAGTAGGAAGTTCTAGGCTCGGTTTATGTGCACAGGCTGGATATTTATATAGCATTTTCCTTCTGATGTTTATTTTCAAATTTACAAGTTGAATATAGGAAAGCAGGCAAGCACCAAGACAGACAGTGCTAATCTTTAAAGCTGCATCAGTTGGGGGGGGGGGGGAATGTAGCCTTTGGAGCACCACCCACGCCTGCAATCCACTGCTCCCTCCTCCTCCTCTGCTGGCTCTTCTTCGTCTTCGTCTTCTTCGTCTTCTTTCAGATAGCTGCAAAACTGATTCTTGTCCTCTATATTCCAATTGCCAGATCATTTCTCTTCAGTTACTATCCAAGCAGGGCAAAATACCTAATACTTCCACTTGTCAAAAGCCATTAAAGAAACTTTTCTAGCCATTAGTCCTCACTAAAAGCGTTATCTTTAACATGCAAAAGCATAGAGATAATTGTTCACTTGGCACCACACCAAATTCCTATTACAAGTAAATTAAAGTTATAAAGCACCCTTAAAAGTTAGGGTTGTAATTAATTTTGGATAGACCAATCCAAACCTTCCTTGAACAGTATGGGGGAAAGGGATTGAACTGAACAGAGGTGTCCATCCACACAGCTCTGCTGGCTGAGATGACCTCTCACAAGTCACCAAACAGGTGAGCAGAAGGCTGACTTTCGGTGACTCTGCCAGAAGGGGACAGTGGGAAGCCCCCAAATAGGGCATTCTGGGGGCAAAGAGGGGGCTGGCCCAGGATCTGCTGGATTCTAAACCATTCTCATTGCTGTCATGCAATCCAAGCCCAATGACAATGCCAGCCTGAAGCTGGGGCAAGGATCAGGCCCAATCACCCTGCCTTCCCTTCCACCACGGCTGCTGTGAGCAGCCAGACTAGAGGTGCCATAATGGCTTCACCATCCTGCCAAGCCTCACCAGTGCCCCAAAACACCTGAATTGTGCCCTAAAACATCTGGAGGCCACCAGGTTGATGAAGGTTGTAATAGGCAATATTCCACAAAGAAGAACAGATGAGCAGGAAGTCTTAGAAACAGGTAAAGAGGCACAGAATGAATTTATCAAATAAATGAAGATGGAACCAGTGAACATATAAGGGAAAGACAATAAAGCCCTGATATTTAGGAAGTCCCAAATTAGGAGATAGAAAAACAAACAAACCAAAGAGACTGAACAATAAAACAGAAAATATAACTTTTATTGTTAAAGCATACTAGATGGAAGCATAATAGTTTGTTTGTATGCCTCCACTTGTGACACTGAAAACAGCCTGGTCAAGTCTTGAAATATCAACCATTGGAATGGAGATGTTAGACAACCTGCTTAAAGAGATGATGCCACCTTAGGACTTAATTGACAGAGGAGTTGCATCTTGGTAGGCTTCGTGCAGTGCAGACTGGTGGCAGACGAGTCACTAAAGGAGGACTCAAAACAAGATCCAGCCCACATGAAGAATAGATGCCAAACGTCTGCTGTTTTCTTTGAAAGAGGAAAAAGCAACATCTGGTACTTGATGACTGACTGTGAAGTAATCCACCTCCAGAAGACCTCTTGAGAGTAGTCTTGGAAAAGAGTTGCGAAGGCTTCTAGGAAACATCCTGAAATCCTTCTAGGGATTGCTTACATTGAGACTTTCCCCCCACATCTATGGTGGTGACCCATGTTGAGTGTTGAACAAACTAGGCTAAAATAATAGATAATTGGGAATAATTAAATTTATCCAGAGGTGATCCAAGTTGGGCGCTGGGATTGTCAGGTCACAAGTGAAGAAAAAGGCTTCTGTCTAGGCTCAGACTCAAAAAGGAAAGATGAACAGAAACCAAAAGGGCAAAACTTCCAAAAATGCAGGCAGCTGTGTTGCCATACTCCCCACAAACAGCAGCTTTACAGCACACAACACCCAATTTATTAGGTAATCTTATGCACAGTTGGCTAAGATTGCATGACTAGAGTCCTCTACATAGATACTTGGGAGTAAGCGTCATTCAATTCAGTGGTGCATTTTTCTGACTGGACAGGTTATTATTGTTGTCAACACCCTCAGAAAATTCTAATAGGTTAATAAGACATAATTTACCCTTGCAGAAGCTATGCTAGTTCTGTTTCAGAAAGGCATGTTTTTCTATATGCTTGGTAATTTGATCTTTAAAAACATTTTCCATGAGTTTCCTTGGAGCAGGTGCTAAGCTAAATGGCCTGTAATTTACACGATCCACCATGGATCCCCCTTTAAAAGTTGATCTTACAATGGCTATTTTCCAGTCCTCCAGTATGGAGACTGATCTTGGGGACAAGTTACATATATTTGTTAGAATTTCAAAAAGTTCACATTTGAGTTATTTAAGAACTCCCAGGTGGATGTCACCTGGACCGGTGATTTGTCAGTTTTTACTTTGTCAGTAAGGCCTAGAACATCTATTGTCAATAGTATTTGCCTCAGTTCCTCAGAAGTCATAAAGTGCTGTGAGTTCTTTGGATTTGAGCCAGCTTTTGACATACTTAATATTATATTTGGAAATATATTTATTCTTAACCTGGCTTTGGACTGGTTTTTTAAAAATTTGGTTACCCACTCTTAGCCTTAAGAACGAGGTGAGCCAAGAATCTAGGTAATGACAATGCTATAGTACTACAATACTGAGACAGTTAGGCCCATTTGTGCAATTTGACAGGATAAAGAAGATTTTTCTCCTCTGCCTTTAATAGAATGATAAACAGTGTACATGGAGCTGAGGGAGGGAGGGGGGACATTTCAGTTGAAAGAGTGCCAAATTTACAAAGATGAGCCAGGCTCTGGCATTGAGATTGGAAGCCTGGTGGGTATCAGCTTGTCTGATGCCAGAACAACATTCCCAGAATGCACCAGTTCTGTCATGCTGGTATGCTTGAACTTATGATTCTGTTGCCATTAGTCAAGCTGTGATTGGAATCATAAAACACAGGTGGGGTGCTCTGTTCACACAGTCCCCACATTAGCTTGTGGTCGATGTGGGGGGAAATATTAAACCTCTGAAAAGAGGGATATCTGGATACAGCGCATAAATTCCCCTCTCTTCTCTTTGTAGGACTGGGAACAGATCCAATCTTAAAAGGCAGGACAAACTGTTCATAAAAGGACAGATGCAGTCAGAAGGATGGAGTATGCCTTTAATGTATTATTTGCTTAACAACTGCCTGAGATGCCATTAGTGGTTCTGTCTGCTCCATCTCCAGAGCTTGGAAGGTGTAGTGAATCTTGCACATTAGAGCATGATGTTTACTACAGGTTGGTGTGTTTACACTACCACAGTCCAAAATATTACAGCCTAGGATGGGGACTTTCTTGGGTAGTTGGGGGACAGACAGACCAAAAGTAGATGGAAGATAATCACTGTTAAAGGTCTTAAATTGGCATTTGAATTTTCCACCTTGGGTAGAAGTTCTGCATGATTCAAACAGCTGTCTACAACTCAGGACCAAATGGCAACAATTTGAAAGCCTGCCACTTTATTTTGTTAATATGCTTTCTTAAATTCAGGGGGGGACATGTTTCCCAATAGGTTTTTTTTATATTTAGAATGTACATTCCCTCCTTGCAAAGGCTCTCAGGACAACTCACAATCAATTCAGAAGAAAACCAATCCACTCAATGGGACATACTTCTGAGGTGACGTGTATTAGATTGCACTGCAAAGCAATAAAAGAACAACATATCAAATCAGCAAACAGAAATTAAAACTCTGGAAGAATAAAAGTAAGAAGCATTGGAGAAGAACAAATAAGTCAGATGAGCTGATATTTTGAGGGGACTAGGAGGTTTTTTTAAGGGGTATTTGCCTGGCACAAAACAGGATTGAGTAACAGGAGAGACTCCCAGGTGAAAGCCACAACCAAAAGGGCCCTTTTCTGGGCAAGGATCACCAAATATGTAGCTCCTGAAAGGTGGAGAAACCTGGAGAAGAACCTCCAATGATGATGATCTCTGTCCCTCGACAGGTACATGTGAAAAAAGGCAGCCCTTCATAAACTCAGGTCCCAAGTTGTACAGGACTTTAAAGCTAAGTAAACTGAAGTGGGCTCTGAGACATACCAACAACCACTGGGGTTGGGAGGGTGAAAGGCAGGGAGACCAGCAATAGAGTGGAGCCAAGAGCCAATGGATTCTAGTTTTGTCTCCATGCTTCTCGCTGTTGAGTTCTACTAGGGCAGGACTAAGACTAAGGAGGAGGCAACTGGTTGTAAGTAAGATGGCAGACTAGTGGCTGCTGGCTGAGAGCAGACCAAGGTTGGTGGTGTATTCCCCATTTGTCTTAATGGACTAGCCTCCACTGTCCCTAACAGCCACTACCTCCAGAGGCAACTGCCTCATATTGTATAATGAGGAGGGGGAGAACCATGTTTGAAGGCAGAGGTGGGATATAAATCCAGTAAATAGATATATAATATATGACATGCCCTGAATGGTTTCCAGCTCTGCATGAGCCTGTTCATGCCTGTGTGGGCTGTTTACTTCTCTGCCCACAGGGGGTGGGGCGGGAGAGATAACTTTTCCCCTCACAAACAAACTGTGAAGCAAAGCAGGCAAATAATTCTGAAGCTTTCGAATGATATGTTGATAGGCGAATTGATATACTGCAGCTCTTTACAAGACTTTATACCTAACACATCTTTCTAAACATGGGAACAGATTGTTTATATCTATCCACAGGGAAGCCTATTACCAATTTAAATCAGGCTGTTGGGAGAGAATCAAAATCATGTTGATGGTGGTTCCTTTAAGAGGAATTAATCAAATGTTACCAATCGGTTATGTCTGATTTGAAGATCAGGGCTGCCAAAAAAATTGTGATGCCTTTGCACAGGGTGCTGTGTGCCATTCTGCCTTCTCTTGTACGGTCCTGAGCAATTCACTCTTATTGAGCCCCACAGGATCAGATCCTCTGGTGAACTCTGCTTGCTGCTAATTCTTATCCCATATGCGGCTTCCCCTTATCAATTCAAGTGTAGCGATTTGTTCTGTCACAGAAACAACCCGAGGCCATGAATCTCATCAGGGTTGCAGCCTTATCTGTCAGCTCCGAGTATGATAGACAACACTCTTTATCCCCAGTGGGGCTGTTGAGCCTCCCACTTAGTTCAGATGAACCTCATACTGTGTGGCACTGTTCTGATTGCCTGAAAGTGTGTGTGTGTGTGTGTGTGTGTGTGTGTGTGTGTGTGTGTTGGGATAGTGATGTATCAAGCACCCTTTCAACCTCTTGCCAAAGTCCTAAATCTCTCATTCCTTGAAAAAATATGACCTTATAAATCCCTTCCTGCAGCTTGCTCCTTTGTAGTCTAATCCTATGAAGGTTTTTAAATGGGTTAGCTGGATGCAGGCTTTACAGATCTGTTTCCTCGTGTTTTGATATAATAAATTGCTTTTTGTGCACCACCTTGAGCTGTAAAGATCAGGACAACAAAAATCCAAAAAGTAAACTAAAAACAAGTAAAGTATGTGAGTTATAAGGCAGTTTTTATCTTGGGATGGCAACCCTTGTAGCTTTCTTCGCATGTTCCTTGTGTGCAGAGGGAAAGGGTGTCGAGAGGGGCTCCAGGGTTGTGTGTTTATCCAAAGGATAGGGAATCTTTTCCAGCCCGAGGGCCACATTCCCTTCTGAAAAACCTTTGAGGGGCCACATGCCAGTGGTAGGTGGGGCCAGAGGTGAAAGTGGGCAAAGCAATGGCTGTGACTTTTACCTTTGTACAGTAGAGTGGTTTGTAGACATTCACAGGGCCCTCTTTATCTTTCTTTCATTCAGGCAAGCACAAAGCATTACCAATAAAAGCTTTCTGCTCTTCACTTCTCTCTCCCCTGCAAATGGTGGCAGCAACAAAGGGATTTTGCGATTGGGCAAACTGTGTGGGAGGGGGAGTTTTGGGTGAGCTGCGGGAGGAGGGGATTGGCAATGGGGTGAGGTGGGTAGGTGGGGATGAGGGTATTGAAGGAGCTGTGAGGAGACAGGGTGTGTGGCAAGGGAGGGGTCGGCAAGGGGGTGATGGGTTTGGCAGGGGTGGCAAGCGATGTGAGCAGGGGTGGAAGCTTCGAGTATATAAATGGGAAAAGAGAATTTACATGCTTGTAAAGTGCATGCAGATATAGCCAAAATTGCCTCTAATCAAAAGCCAGACACTAATTTTCCTGTACAAGTTGAAATGTATCATTCCCATCCTAAAGGTGGTAGTCTGTTATATACACAAACACACACAGGGCTCTGGGGAATTCTGAATTTAGGTTCCACGTGAACTTATAGGTCACAATTGCTCCTTGGTAGATAATTTGAAAACCAATGACTTGTCATAATTTAAAATATATAATGTCTGACATGCGGTAATATTCATTTTTAGAAAGCATTTAAAGTGATGCTTCTCTTTGGTGTTTGATAGAAAACATGCAATGGTAGTTTGTATTTGGCAGTTGATGAGACAACTTATTCCATTTTATGTTTGAAGCCTCCAGACTTAAAACATTCAAGAGGCTTAATTAGTATCCCTGAGAAGAAGAAACACTGCTCAGACCTGTGCTTTCTATACACCCCATCTCCCATCAGCCCCAGACAGCACAGCCAATCGCGAACCACCTGAAAGAGTCTCCTGCTGCTGTTGTCCACAGATGCAATAGAGGCAGTGAAGAAGGTAGCCACTTGGTAGGCTTGACATTGAGCTCTAACCCGTGTCTGGTCAGCTTCAGAATGAGTTATCCACCACCGGCGCTCTAGCCATCTCAGCGATTGTTTTATTGCCCTCAGATGCATGGAAAACCACGGGGCTGTCCGGGCTTCATGCAATCAGAGAGGGCACTTCGGAGCCAAACAGTCAATAGCCCTGGTTAACTCCACATTCCAGCGGGTCACCAGGGAATCAGCTGAAAGGCCATCAACATGGGATAAAGCATCTCCTACCACTCTCTGGAAATAATAAGGGGTTTTTTTGGGGGGGGGTTATATATATATAATCTAGTAGCTACCACCTTGGGAAATTATAGATAACCCAATTATCTTCCTAATCAGGGCTAGGACTGAGAAAGTAAACTCTTATAAATGCTATAAATGCTGCTCCAGCTCCACCACCATTATTATTATTATTTTCCAGACTGAAGGCACAATGGGAAATTCTGCCTTCACGTGAGAGAGAAGGAAACTGTGTCCATAATGCTTTCTTCCAGTCATGGGCAAACTCCTGACACAGGAGCAGTCCATAAAAATGATGAGTGAGTAATAAATCCTAGAAGATCAGAGTAGACGAGCAAATACACAAAGGGTATCTAGCATCATGAAAACCATGAGACTGTTTTCATGGTGAAAAGCTATCTATATATTTTGTAAACGTATGGAACAACAAAGGGTCTTGGGGCACCTTTAAAGATTAGCATTCGAAATTTGGTTCACCTTTAAGATGCCACAATGCTCCTCACTGCTTTTGCTGAAAAAGAACAACACGGCTGTCTCTCTGAAAACTGTTACATAAGGTCCATGAGCAAAATGAACCCAGATGGAAAATTACGCTGGCATGAGGAAGTCCCAAGATTTAAAGCCTATTCGAGCAGCATATGAAAAGGCTGTTAAGTGGAAGAGGAAAACTCTGGAGGAAATCAAAGAGTTCCTAGTCTTCCTCATACTAGTGCACCCTAGACCAGGAGCAGCTAACGTACAGCTCTCCAGATGTTGCTGAAGTACAACTCTCATGGGTCATGCTGGTTGGGGCTGATGGGATTTGGAATTCAACAACATCTGGAGCAACACAGAGAAGTGTGGTGCCGGATTAAAGCCTGTGGAGGCCCCTAGGCAGTAGAAATCTTGGGGCTCCCCTCACAAAACGTCTCCCAATACATTTTTGTAATTGTTTTCAAGATCAAATCAATATTATTGATCCATTGTTGTGGGGGCCCTAAAAGGCATAGGGCCCATAGGCTGGTGCCTACTCTGAATATTGGTAATCTGGCACTGGATTAGTGACCCCTGCCCTATAGTATCAGTCTATGATAAATATAGACCCCAATGAGGAGAGGTACTAAGAAACAGGTCCCATTGCATACAGGAGCAATGCAAAATAGTTTCCCCTAAAATACCGGGGATAAATATTCACATATTTATATTTCCTAAGGCTATGCACCTATCTTAGCTTCACACTGAGTTTCCACTAACTTCAACAGGCTCATCATCTATTCCAGTTTCCCTGAGCAAAAATGCCAGGACAGCCTAGATTTCCCAGGTAGAAAAAATGGTGCTTAGTGTGAAGAGCTAATTCATGGCAACTGAAAACAATAAAAGCCAGTGGTTGCAGTCTGGGAATCCTAAGGTTTCTGCCACACATGAGAAAAGTGCAGTGCATGTGCAGGTATTATTAAATTTATATACCGCTCCATACCCACAGGTTTCAGGGTAGTTCACAAGATAAAATTTCAATATAAAAACACAAAATACATAATCAAAATGTAA